TTTCTACCTTCTCCTCTCTGTCAACGCTCTCTGGTTTCATTTTTATAATTTTTAAACTTTTAGTTTAAAAATTATAAAAACTAAACAGCATACAGTATTTTTACAGTTAAAATATATGTTTATCAAATAGTCTAATGTTACAACTAATTGTGTATCCCTTTAAACATTTGAAGTATGTTTAATCACAACTATAAGGCTTTAAGCTACATAACATGGTGTATTCTCATACAGACTCTGCTGTATCACATTAATAACTTTTAACTAATAACTTTTACTCTGATTAGACTACTAGATTGCTTTGTTTGTCTGAATAAACTTTAACCTCACACTGCTTGACTAAGTTACAAGATTTTCTGCAGACAAAATCAATCGGCTTTCTCTTTTTGTCCACAAAATATTGCTATTTCCAGAACCTCTGGATGAGACTTGGTTTTTAAATGTGCAATTATGTAAGAAAAAGATTAAATGTATCCACTCTTGAACCCCCCCAGTCACTCTCATTACGTATCAGCATAAATACCAGGGGTCGGATTTATAAAACTTGTGTACGCACTAGGGTTGGGCATAATCGTATCGTGTGCAATTAATCGTCAGAAAAACATTAAATCGATTATTTTTCGGCACTTGACAATTAATACGATTATTGTCACCAGGCAGATTGACTACATATTTCCCCGGTCAGTCCACTCAGCGCTCCTCTCCACTTCAAATATGACGAACATAAAAAAATWAATTCTGAAATTTATTTATCTAGCAACACAATTTAAAATTTGATGTATAGCCCGAATGTATAGCCTGTCTGTAATTTTGACAGTTTGGAACAGATTTTTATGAAGAGCAAATCTTTCCAACTAAATTAGTCATGTGACTAGGACATAAGTGTGTCCAGAGACTCCAGGGGATTAATCGTCAAATTAATCGTGATCGGCTGAATACCACAATTAATCGTGATTAATTTTTTTGCCAATATCGCCCAACCCTAGTACGCACAAAACGAGCCCAGAAACTTGCGTACGCCACTTTTCACATCAAGGTTGTGATTCATAAAATCCAAACTTGACGTGAAAATGTGCGGTGCCTCACGCCAGCTCTGACCCATGCGTACGCTCATTTTGGAGATGGGAAACTGCGAYACAGATGGTGAAGTGAGGAATTAGAGCCACACTGTAATGATCACTGTGTGTGTGTGCTGTGGATAACAGAGCAGGCAGGAGGGGGAAGACGGGGGAGAAGAGTGGTGAACTTATTTCTAMCTTTATCTGACATTTAATTTTATTTTTATTGTGTTATCATCCTGCAGGCTCTGAGACAATTAATTTGAAGCTGAGTTTTTGAAAAAAATCATTAGATTACTCTAAACGTCTGTAAACATGCAAAATGAGGGAAAATCTGTGTCAATAAGACATTCTGTTCACGTGAGCAGTTGTCAGTCAGCCCCTGTCATCCTCCACACACACAACTGAGCGCGTCTGAGCCAATCACTTCTTTTGACGTTGATCAGCTGACTGATTTAAATACATCTTAACATTCATGAGGTACTTTGCATTGACTGTTTATGGTTGAGTGTGGGCGTGTAGAGTGTAGAACCTGAGGCGAGACCTTGTGCGCAAACTCTGAGGTGCGGCTGTGATCTAGAAGGAAAGGTGCGCAGAAACGTGCGTATGCAGTTTTATAAATCTGAAATGTTTTTGATGTACGCCATTTTTGCCTTTTGGCCGTACGTTCACTTTTAGTATGGTTTCCACACAATAAATCTGACCCCAGATCTTGTGTTCCTATCAATCTGACCTCAACCAAGCTGGTTTGACAACTGCAGAGTGAGTCACTGGATGCTGGACTGAATATCAAACACTTTCAAAATGTGCTCAAACCAGATATCAGCAGGTTTGGTTTAAGTGGGGACAGATTTAGAGAAAATTATTGTTTACAGTTCTGGGCCTGTATTTATCAAACTTCTTAAGAGTGAATTTTTAGACTTAAGTGCTGAAAATTTCTTAGATTTGCTCCTACTCTCAGACTTAAGTGTAAGTGCCAGTTATCAAAATTCTTAAGTATAAGAATCACTCTTACTCTCCCGAATAGTTAAGACTGCTCCAGAGAACTCTTAAGTGGTTAAGAGTTGTCACTAGGGGTCTGAGATGGACTGAGGAGACAGAGAACACAGCTGTCCTCCTCCACACCTGAGTGTTATTCTTAGTTATAAGGTGGAAAACAGGTTTAATCAGAAATACAAAAGAAATAAAGGTAATAAATAAATAAATAAATAAATAAATAAAACTGTGCATAATGTTGGACTAAAAGGTGGATATTTGTGTGTGGTGCATGCAAGCCCCCCCCCAAATAAATAAATAAATAAAAATTACAGTGGGATTGAACGCTTCGGTGTTATCTGCAGACAGTGGCGAAGAGGAGAAGGGAGCAGCTCAACATTACCTCAGGTTCTGTGACATAAAATAACTTTAGCTGCTGAGTTTTTGATTTAAATTTTTTTGTCTGTTATCATGATGCAAATGAGGACATTTTATGTAATTTACAGACAATCAGTACAAGGTGACAACATTAGTSTGTTGAAAATGAATTATCTTAGCATTTTCACAGTCTTTTCTTGACATTTCTCCGAAAATATTCTTGAACATGAAATCCGAGGCAGTGATTGGTCCATGCCCGTTTTTTTCCTAACGACGTCATCCAGGATCAGCTTTGCGGCACAGCAGGAGTCACAAATCAGCTCTAAGACTGACACTTAAGAATTACTCCTACACTTCACTTAAAGTAAGACTGAGACGCTTGATAACTGACTTTTACTCTCAGCTTTTAACTAAGAATTTTTTTCACTTGAGTCCACTCTTAGCAGCATTCTTAAGAGTAATTCTAAGAAGTTTGATAAATACGGGCCCAGATCCTGGATTACTTAAAAAAATTTAAAAAAAATCTGATGAGATGTTGCATCATTCTGTAATGTAGTTAAAGCTAGTCCCTTCACTCATTAGGCTATCTGCAGATTTTCTGAATTAAACCAGTCTTCTGATGTTAGCTGGTCCTTTATCACAGATGTAGTGATAACCATTATGACTGTTTTTATCAAAYTGTACAAAGATTACACTTCAGTTCTCCTTCAGGCCTTCTTACCATCAAATGCTGGTGGTAAAAAAATGTTTAACCTCATAAAATATGCATTACAAACATGCAAATAATATTTGGGTACTTGCATTTCAAGTCATTTTTTTCCCCCTCAGAACATATAATTTGTTTTTTCCATGTCATTGAATATATTTTTACTATGAAATTATCACTTTTTCCTCTGTTTTTTGTAAACAACTGTTACTGTAGAAACTGTTCAGTCAGAATTCCTCAAACATGACTTTCTTCTATTACCTGGAATTAATGTGCTCATTTACCTGTTTTTGGCAAGCCTGATTTCTCTCTTCATTGTTGGATCATCAGTCTTAGTCTGGGACAGTCCAACAGGAGAAGTCATAACTACGGCCTGAGGAAGGGAGGCAGATGTGGGTGCTGTGCGAATCTGGTACGTTTGCACTTCTCCTCCTGCACCTGAGTGCAACAACAGTGAAAAAAGAACACTTGTCATAACAAGCCTCCCAAACTCTTTTCATCATTAGCTAGTATTTAAAAYAACCACAGTGGAACTGAGATGTTCAACAAAGGTTTAATTTAACAACTTTTACATTTTACACTAATGTCCTAATTACTAATTACACTTTGTGCATTTACTGCAAACTGCTCATCTGTTCTCACACTTGTGATGCCAACTACAGATTTAGCACCATGCTGCACACTGCARAGTAAGAAGTGACAAAGCAAATGTTTGTGTTTGTCTGTTCTGTAAGGCACACAGAGCAGCCCCCCCCC